GTTGATTGGCTGGCTCGGAGGGGGAGAAAGCAGAAGTGAGGTCAAAGCTCGGTGCGTAGGCTTCGTTATAAACAACTTGACGTGCAAAAGTCCGTGGCCTGGAAGACTGCTAAGTAGCGGGGATAAATCGGTTAACCTATAAGTACGGGGAATCAGGCTACGGTGACCCCATCATGCTAGGCCTCTGCGGCACTTCCACGCCGATGGGAGTTGAGGTGACCATTGCTTATTTCTGAAAGCCTGAGGATACGGGGATGGTACGCCTAGATGTTGATTTATGTCGTACCAATCATCCTACCGTCGGTCTTATTGCCTCTGCCAATACAAGCGAAAATCCGTGTCCAAGGAAGCAATTGGGAAGAAGAAGCGATCGAGTCTTCTCCTTCTTATTGCCTCTGTTATGACCCCGTACCCAGGTAATAAGGCGGAGAGAGTGTGGTAGATCCAGTGCAAGTCGGTCATTACTACAAATCGATTCACGCTCACGTCATTTTCCGGTAGCCATCTTGCTCTGAGGCGCACGGTGGAATTCATATTTCCTAATGGTCGAGCTGTCACATACAAGTCAGTTCAGAACCTTAAAATAATTACAAGCTAATTCGGTTACCTGTACATTGTGCTTGGTTCAGTCAACTTGAATATATTTCTAACGATTAGTTAGTTATTCAGCTCAATCTAGATTGACTTAAAAATATCAGTCTGAAACGCCAGTTAACCAAGCAGGTATTTACAAAATTTAAGTTGAACCAATTGTGAAAAAAGCTAACGGCGTTCGGTGGGATTTGAAACCGCTTAGTAGAGAAGGCCTTTACGCAAGTTCAAATGCCGCCGCATGCCGCGAGTTTTTTTTTCACAATTGGGTCAGCTTAAATTAAGCAAATCTGCCAAACCGTCTTAATAATATGTAAAACGTATCACATCAACAAAAGTCGCTTACATTCATGGAGAATATTCTGTTGGTTTCCTCCCAAGCTTATAAAATTCAAAGTTTGCTAAGGTTAATGTACGCAATGGAATCTATTTTAGTCCATCCACCCCCTATTGCTGGACGTCAAATGAAGTATGCGATTGCAATCATAGTAGGTATCATATCATCACCGAATCGTGAGCACGCGACACTGCTGGCATTTATGGACGTACTGAAACCGATTCCCCAGTCGCAATTTCTTACATTCAGGTCTTGAGTAACAATATCAATCGGTGAATAATGGTAGCTAGATCAAAAGACTAAACACGGCTCACATTACAAAGAACAGTACTTATACTTTTGTTGGCTTGTAAAAACTGCTATTGCACGATTTATGGAGTAATTGAAAAGCTTGCACAGGCGAGTGTGCCTATGTTTTCAGGAAAACATTCGTAGTAACTAGCTGGTCATTACCTCACCAGTGGTATTCCTTTGAACGTTTACGTAATCGGTTTTATTGATTTTCGGTTTAGTCATGATCCGACTTCAAGGTATCCTTGGATTCTAATATGTCGGATGGTACCCGAGAATCCCTACCTACAAGCATGTACACGCATACGACATAGCACATAAAAGAATTTTGTTTTTCGAAGCCTGAAAATGGTTTGGTAAGTAGCACACGCCGCAGAGAACCCGTCTTTCCATCAAATACTATTGTACTCCTATTATACCTGGTTTTTTGCATATATATATACGCCCCCGTCATAGACGCAACCAGGTGTGCACAAAGCAAAGAGTATGTAACACACTTACTTGTCATTATAATTTTTAAACAACCCCTACAGCTTCAAATTTCTAATGAAAATTAAAGTCCTAAAGCAAATATTAACGCGGAGCACCCTGCTGTACAAACAAAGGCAGTAAATCTTTGCAAATTTATTTGCAAAATAATCTATGCAAAAAGTGTGTCTACAAATTCAAAATGCGTGTAAAATCTTCGGTTGTTTGGTTTAGAAAGTGTAAATTCAAATATTTTTAGCCAGTTGTGTGATGACTGCATCCCCTTCTGCGTATTTCTCTTGCACCTCAAGAAACTTCCTGCCCGTTTCTAAATTAAAGAAGTAAAATAAAATTATTTTTGCAAATCAACAGCCAGACAAATTCAAAAATATGGGAAATGGAAACTGGTTGATCACTGGATCTATTTGCACAACTACGGGTGGATTCTAGATGATTCCGTAGGAAATCCTGCCTAGGCAGTTAGCTTGCTGTTCCGTACTGATGGATTTCATACAAGTAATAAGTTGGGCGGATAAAATTAATCCAAATGTGATTAAGTTCACGGCGCATGGTGGTAGAGCGTTGCCCACGCAAAAGCCTTCCCTGTTGCGTGGGTTCGACTCCCACCGACGCAGCTAATTTTTCACATGTGGGTCAACTAAATTAAGCAAATTTGCCAAACTCCAATAACTTTTCAACTTTTTTCTGAACCATGTGTACCCAAGAGTTAAAGCAGTAGATTTGTTTTTAATTAAGGATGAAGTGACGAACGTTTTAGAGTTTTAAGTTAAACGACTGCAGTTGATGACCCTAACGGGTAGCTTTAACGCTGCACAACCACTCGCTAGATGTATAAATGTCAACAAAAACATTTCTTTACAAAGACCCTGAAGGAAAGGCCTTGTATTTAACTCCAATTTCTCCTTTCTCAAACGTATCAGCAGAATGAGGCGAACGGATAAGGGTCAGGTAAGGAGGAGTTTATTATCAGTCATTTATAAAGTCTGCATTTATTTTGTTTCTGCTCTCATGTACATACATGAAAACCTGCACACCTCTATTCACTGTGAGTAAAGCATATTCTGCGTATTCTTATCGTTCATACTTTCCTCCACAAACATATTCCACCAACAGGAGGCACTTTAGGAAAGTATATTCGCACAGTGACTGCCCATTTTACGGTTCAGAAACTACTGTTTCGCCTCTACGTGGGATTGATTGTTCTACTTCTGAACGTGAAAGCGGTATTTTTATTGGTGCCAAAAGGTTCACTGTACTTGAGCCTTGCCCCTCCTGTCATGCGTTCTAATCCCACGGAGGTCACCGATATGTTTGCACAATTAGCTCCCAAAACTAGTTAACTGTATTCACACAGTTTATTTACTTGGAACAGTTTTGCAACAGTGGGCACTTTTGTGCTATTTTTTTACTTGTTTCACAGGGTGGTATTTTGTTAATTTGCTTCCCGCAGTTGTCACTTTTTTCTTAGTACGTTTTCTGAGATAACTGAAAATTCAAGATGACAAAGGATGTTCTATGGGACATCTAAGTTTCCCTGGAATACTATGCTGACGTTAGCCAACATTGAGTAAATTATCTACTCGCCAGCAGTCCTCGGAGTTACCTGTGGTAAGTAGCGACCCACAGGGCTCAGTTTTAGGTCCCACCTTATTCCCTGCTTTCGTCAATGACTGTGTCAGGGACCTAGAATGTGATGTGAGCTTGTTCGCTGACAACATAAAATTATGGAGATTTGTGGAAAATATGGCAGACGAAAACCATCTGCAAGCTAACTTGAACAGATTGGAGGACTAGTCAAAGCAGTGGCTTATGCCTTTCAAAGATAGCAAATGCAACTTCCTTCAAATCAGTATTTGCAGAGCATCCAGCCCGAACGTCTTTTCCTTAAACTGTACACCGCTGCAACAAGTTGAGAATCTGAAGGACTCAAATGTGTGGAACACTTCTTCACTCAAACTAACGCTGAAATGTACGAAGGTGGCGAAGTCGGCCGGATCCATATTACAGTTAATTAGACGAGTTTTAATGGGGTTTGAAAAGGACAGCTTTTCCAAAATATTTGGATGCTTCGTTCGGCCGTTCCTATAATTGACTATAGAGCCACGGAGACCCTGGACAGTCCAAGACTGTACAGTCTTAGAGAAGGTTCAGAGGCGAGCGACAAAAATTGTCAAAGGTCTGGGAACATTGGCCTATCTACTGCTCTTTCAAAGACGTCTACACAGAATGTTCAGTATGGCAAGTTCTGCATGAAACATTCCGCAATTTGAAAAAGACCGGTGATCACTCGTAAAACAACATTAAGTTGGGTTGCAATACTGTTTATCATGCAATCCAATTTTAATTATTTTCAGTCACGCTAGGATGCCAACTCTGTGGTGAGCTTCTTTCTGACCGCTGCGAAAACGTTGATTCTGTAAAAAATGGCTACTTAAATAGTATGCATTTTTATCATTGATTTTGACCGCCTTTATAAATTCAAATAAATTTTATGGAAAGCATGCACGAAAAAATCTTTTCATATACTTATTTGATAGAAAATTATGCCTTCCATAAATTTTATCCTTAAAGGAAGGGTTTCGTCCGGTTTTGAAAACGTTTCTAAATTGCCGAAGGATTTTGAAAGCTACTGACTGCTAGAACTGAATTCAAGTTTTACAAACTGAATGCTGTGTTCATCCTGTTTAAGTAAAAGTACGTTCTTATCTACGGTTTGGGGAATTGATTGCCTAGCTCTAATAGAATTTTGTAATAGACATGGATCATGCTGTACATATCAGTGGCAGCATTCATAAATTGACGGATACAATGTATTATGAATGAACACCACACAGTCGTAAAAAACTCAAACTTAGAAACCTTTTTAAAACCGAAGGAAACCCTTTCTTTAATGTTAAAATTTCTGGAAGTTATAATTTTCTATCAAATAAGTATAAGAAAAGATTTTTTCGTGCATGTTTTCCATAACATTTATTTGAATTTATAAAGGCAGTGAAAACCAATGATAAAAATGCATACTTTTTATGTAGCCATTTTTTACATAATCATCTCTTTCTCAAAAAGAAGCTCATGACAGAGTCGGCATCCTAGCGTGACTAAAAATAATTGAAATTGAACTGCATGATAAACAATATTGGAACCCTACTCAATGTCGGTTTGCGATTGCTAACCGGTCTTTTTCGAATTGCGGAATTTTTCTCGCAGCGCTCGCCATACTGTATATTACAGCTGATTAGACGAGCCTTTATAGGGTTTTAAAATATAGCTTTTCCAAAATATTTGGAAGCTTCGTTCAGCCGCACCTTGAATTCTTTATACAGGCACGGTGACCCTGGACAGTTCTAAGATTGTACCGTCCTAGAGTAGGTCCAGAGGCGAGCAGCAAAAATACTTAAAGGTCTGGGAACACTACCCTATCTACCGCTCTTCCAAAAATATCTACCCAGAATGTAAGTTTGTCAAAGCTTATATCACCAAACTTAAAATCTTCTCAACTCAAAAGAAAAAAATCAAACGATGTACCTGAAAGGTGCCAATCTTTGGCTGCGTCAAACGATGGCCACTGTGTGAGCACAAAGAAATTGCATCTGTTTATCCCACGTATCCGCACCACGTGTGAAGTTGCGATGACAAAGGGAACACCGCCTGCCTCTTTAACTGCCTCTCCGTAGGGTCTCAAAAATTCACTTTCAAACAGTTCCTTGTTCTTTACGTTTAGGAGATGAAGTTCCACAATGGCATCGTCTAAGAAAAAAACAAATTTGGAAACTTGAGCAAGGGACATTGGGGTGCAGATCTGCGCTTTGTATTCACTTTACAGATTTGTCTTGAATCAATAGTATCTTGTTGCTTTTTGACGGAAGCGTGAATAGATGCAGAGGTTAACTAAAGTGTAAAAAGGACGCAGGAACAAAGTTTATTAATTAATTCTTACTCATTATAAGGTACACTCATTTTACTGGGCAAAAGTTCGACCAGATTCCTGATGCTTCCATCAGCTCTTTATAGCCATGTAAGTTTAATTGAAGAGTCGGAGGATTATAATTAAATTTACTGGTACATGTACCTGTTACGGCTCTGATCATGACCAATCAAGTTGGTCTCAATGATGTCACGGACGGTACCTCTCCACGCAGGTAGATTGGCAACAGTGGATCTGGAAAGCTCCACCCAGATTCTTCTCCAGCGAAGGACACCGAAGATACAAGGTCCAAGAACTGCTTCTATGTCTTGACGGATAGTGTCAAGCCAGGTTTTCTGTTGCCCTCCTCTTCGACGCCTCCAGGTGGGCTGCGGCGCCGGATCAAAGGCAGCATGGCAAAGCTCGTGGGGCGGACGACAGAGAACGTGTCCAAACCACCTCGGTCGCCTTTCTTGAATGGCCTGAGATATCCTCGCGATAAGATCGCAGCGAGTGCTGACTGTCTCATTCGAGATAAAGTCGGTATAATTAACTCGCAGGATTGTCCTCAGGCAGCGGTGTTCCAAGACTTTCAGTCTTCGTTCATTTTAAGCGCGCAAAGCCCAGTATTTACATCCATAGAGGAGAATTGACCGGACGGATGCAGGGTTTATACGAATCTTCGTGGTGATGGAAATGTTGCGTGGGATCCATAGGCACGTTCGAAATATAAGGAAGATCCAGCGAGCAGACTGTAGACCACCAAGGCTTGAGGCTAGCAGCACAATATCATCAGCGAAGTCGATATCAGTCAGCCGGCATTCGGGTGCAAGCTTAACACTGTCTGCTTCATGTAGGACCCTCAATGCTCTTTGTTCATTTGACCTTGCCGTATTCCTTAGGTGAGCGATGAGGGTTAATACGCATGAAACACTCATTGCCAGCTCCACCAGTCTCAGTCAATATTTTACCTATATTGTCGGCTTGCCTTATGTTCAAAATTAATTTGGGAAGCCAGCTGGGGATAAAATATGAACGGCCTACTTAAATCATAGTATTTTTTTAAATAGAAATGATATTTACCATTAATGGGCAAGTTAAGAGGAAGCGAGAAAACGTCGACATCATCCAGCCAATCATGTTGCTTAAAGTCCGGAGCACATTGACACCATTGTTCCGCACTTTTGTCGGAATCAAAGTGCAAGAAACCAAAAGAACGATTTTTAAATTTATTTCCTCTCAAAACGTCGATCTAGAAAAATAATAAAGAGCAGTTTATAACAGCTTATAAAAAATTAACTATCTTCGTGATAATGATGATAAAATCAGGGTGTACTAAATGGAATGTTGTTCCCTTCAAGTTGGGATCCAAAAATGCGTTAAATGAAAAGCAATGTGGCAAGTGTCTAATGGGCTGGACATTCTGACAAACCCACAAGATTCGCTGCAATATTGAGCCGATTGTAATGGAGGAATTTATGGGCTGGATTACAGATTATTATAAGTAAGAAAAGGAGGTGAGAAAATTGATAGAAGCTATGTGGTAATTTTATTTACTGACTCCAATTCTATTTCGAAGGAAAGCACGCAAAAAAGGAATGACGCTTTTAAGAAAACTGTAAACTAGCAGTAAGTTAAAGCACCCTACATACCCAGCTAACCCTAAATGCAAAGCCTAAAACCTCAACCTATCCCTCAACTTACATCTAACCCGAAACTAGAATATAACACCAATCCCACTCCTAATCCTAAGCACATCACTTACTCCAACCACAACTCTGAACCAAAAGTTACTGCTTACTCTAGCCCTATGCCCCAACCCCAAACCGGATCTTGTTCCGAAAGCTAACCTTAGGACCAACCATAAAATTTAAACTAACCCTTAGTCCATCCCCAACATAAACCTTTATCATTCCTGAACTGGCAGCACGGGATCCAAGTCGCAGTACGTCCGCAGACTCAGACAAAAACGTAAGCCGTAACCCTATTACCTAGGCCTTGTGGAAATCAGTGACTTTAACTGAAAAACCTAAAACTAAATTCAAACCCTAGGTTCTCCTCCAAACCCTATTCTAAATCACTTAAACAAAATCCAAACCAAAGAGCGGCCCTCAAACGATCTGAACAGCGGCACACTTCAATGTATCACGCCTTTGACCCTAGGCCTACTCCTCCAAACGCTCACCCTTGACACCAACCCCGAATACCAACCCTATAGACCTAGTTTCCACCCCAGAAGATTAACCACAACCTGAGCAGACAAAACTCAGATTATTACATGCCTATCTAAATCAAATAAGTAGTCAATTAAACAGTAATAAAACATTAATCGTATACCTTAAACCTTACTGAAATGGGTATTTATTCGATTCAGTTTTGCTTAAAATCTATTTGCTCTCTCAAATGTCATTCACATAAAAGCAAAAGTTTATTCGTGAGAATACGTAAGCACTTTGATTAAGGATTGAGGAGATTTTGGCTATTCATCGACATTATTTGTCCTATCAGTTCACATATTTTTTGAAAAAAGTGAGCGTCAAATGTGATTTGATAAACCTTCAGAACTTCAAATTATGAAGCATGGAGAACCCAAAACTTTCCGATAAAAAATTGCTCCAAACCCTCACGCCTTCCGATCTAGTCCGTTGCACGAAGTGTTAGGCAGCAATGGCTCTCTCATGCGGCATCTATATCAGTCCCCCTGTTTAATCCAAGCAAATATTTTCCCGTAGGGGTAGGGTGGTCCTCACTTGACCACCACAATCATCTGCAAGAAGAAAGCTGTTTTATTTGTATATCCCGAAGATAAAAGGGATTACCGAAGCTCTAATTGTTGTGATTGCCTACGATTCACTACATAATCGGGCGCATGTTTGTACTTAAATCTTAGAGCACTAATAGTTTAAGTGATAGGGATACTCACATAAAAACTGTTGCTTTATTGACTAACTTACATCAACATATTTTATTTTGGCATTTCTATAAACTTTATTGTCTAAACACAAAAGTCGGGCCAACGGTAGTTATTAGAAAGCGGTGAAGGTGTTTGGAAAATAGCTCGGTGATTTTGTAAATAAAGGTATACTTGATGGTTATCTTTAAGAGCTGTGTATGCTTATCTCAAGTGCGCACCCAAAAATGTCCAAATTTAATGTACTTACATTCATGTGTTTCGCTTCGTGAGGGGAGCTGTGTTAGGAAGTATAACTGTCAATGTTCTAAAAATGACTGGTTGCATTTTCCCATAAAATGCGACTGGCTTAGGCTGACTAGCAACTTTGCATAAATATGCGCTTAGCCTCCTAGTAAATGTTCGCAATTCAGCTGTTTCTCAAGTTAGAAAATATTATATATTCATAAAAATGTAAGAAGTTGGCCGCACTACTATTTCTTTACACGCATGTGCTTTTGAGATAATGCCTTGCAAAGTGCTTTTGTTGGACTTGAAAATGCCGCCGTTTAAAGTAGTAACAATTTTTGACAGTGCATAGCTAACATGCTTGGATCTTATTAGAAATATGATAGACGTCTAAATTGCATCTGCCTACCAAGAACATCAACCAGCTGCTACAAAAAATAAACTCCCGTCATCAATTCGTCAAAAATGTATAGCAGAACTGGCTATTGTAGAAGACGGCGCAATTGTACAAGTCCCCGCAAACTAGGACTTGTCCTCGCTTCCTGAATTAGTCTTGGAGGCTACATCGTATATTCACTAACCAGTAAATAAACTCAATACATTGTGTTTTGCAAAAGTTGAGGAAACATATACTGGCTCGTAAAACCTGCTTCGATATTACAAAACACCCAACCCTCGGTTAAGATATACTTTTATGATTGTAAACGAATAGTACTTGCCTTAGATATATTATTGTTTATAACCTTTGCACTTAAAACGAATTAGTCATGCATTTATGTTTGTGTTTTTTTCTGTGAAATTTGCTAAATTTCTATTGATGGCCAAGTTTATTTAATTAAAACTAGGTTTAAAGCTATTTTTAAGCGAGCTCACTTAAAATCCGTTTTACATAACTCTGCCGACACATGGCCTCGTATTGGGCAGGGCTGTCGACGGGGCTATTTATGGCCACAGCTCCGTCTAATTTTGTTATAAGTATTATTCAGGAACCCCAAGTGTTGTAAATGTTTCAGACAGACCTAGAAATAAACGTAACAAGTCTCTGTCAATTAAAGTTCGCATGTGATATTATTCAAGGTATAAACTGTATTTGGCAGACCCAAATTTGTCTATTAATGCAATGCACATTCTTCTGAGTTGTATATGAAGAATGTGCTATGCCAAATATTTGTACTCCCTAATGGCAAAACGCTAGCGCCGCCGCGCTTCTCTGCGTGCACGTGATTAGCC